CACGCACACACACACTACACACACACACACACACACACACACACACACACACACACACACACACAAGAATTAAACCAAACAAACCCCACATCCTTCCAACTCATCAAATCTAGAACAAAAACAAACAAAAACGAAAAGTATCTCTTACTCATCAGAATCCTGTACTTCAGAGATGTAAAAACCTCCTCCCTTGGAGAGGAAGTACTGAGCGTTCAGGCTAGGCCGGATGAAGTGTCTGACGTCACCCTTGAACCAATTGAATGTGGCGGCTGGCCGGAGAGAGAGGGAAGATATAGTATAATTATATGGTGTTGTTGTTGTTGTTGTTGTTGTTGTTGTTGTTGTTGTTGTTGTTGTTGTTGTTGTTGTTGTTGTTGTCGTTGTTGTTGTTATCATCATTATTGTTGTTGTTGTTGATGGTGGTGGTGGTGGTGGTGATGGTGGTGATGGTGGTGGTGGTAGTGGTGATGGTGGTGGTGATGGTGATGGTTGGTGTTGTTGTTGTTGCTATGGTTGTTGTTGTTTATGGTGATGTGACTGTTGTTGTTATTGTTGTTGTTGTTGTTGTTATGGTTGGTTTTGGTGGTGGAGGTTTGTTGTGTTGTAGTGGTGGTTGGTATTGTTGTGGTGGAGGTGGCGGTGATGGTAGTGGCTTGTGGTGTTGTAGTAGTGGTTGGCGTTGTTGTTGTTGTTGTTGTTGTTGTTGTTGTTGTTGTTGTTGTTGTTGTTGTTGTTGTTGTGGAGGTAGTGGTGGTGGTGGTAGTTAATGTGTAGTATGTACTTTGGTGTTTTGTGTGTGCGGTGGCTTGTAGTGTGTAGCATAATGTGGAGTATGTACCATGCTGTGCTGTATGTACTCACTAAACGTGTATTGTATACCATTGTATGTAGAGTGTACTCACTCGGTGTTTTGCGTTAACCTTCATGTGTAGTGTGCACCGTGATGTGAAGTGTGTACTCACTAAACGTGTATTGTATACCATTGTATGTAGAGTGTACTCACTCGGTGTTTTGCGTTAACCTTCATGTGTAGTGTGTACTATAATGTGTAGTATGCACCGTGATGTGAAGTGTGTACTCACACTGTGTAAAGTTTGTAGTGTCTACTCACGCAGTGTGTTGTGTCACCATATTGTGTAGTGTGTACTCACACAATGTGTAGTTTGTAGTGTGTACCATGGTGTGCAGTGTGTACTCACTCAGGGTGTAATGTGCCCCATTATGTGTAGTGTTCACCATGGTATTCAGTATGTACTCACAAAGCGAGTAGTGTGTCAATCATAGTGCGTAGTGTGTACTCACCCGGTGTGTACTGCGGCGGGTTGCACGTGAGCACAGCGCCCTTGTATTTGGTGGCTATCAGTGGGCTAGGGGGAAGGTTGGAGAAAATCTCGATGTCTGGGGAGAAGAAATGCACAATCAACCAACCAACAAACCAACCAACCAACAGACCAACCAACTAACCAACAAAAATCAATCATGAGCAAATCAACCAACTAACCAACAAGCCAACATACCAAAGTATGAATGAATGAATGAATGAATGAATGAATGAATTCTGAAGTTTTACTTTAAAAGACATTATATCCAGTTTTGGACTGATTCCACCAGATAGCTCCACGGCGCACATTTCTGCCGCAGTACGGTATCGATAGCCGAACAAATATAGCAACGAAATTTGAAGATAGAAATCTACTCAAATTGACTGGCTGTTGAGAAAATATGGTGTTTTTTGTGTGTTTTTTTTTTG